AAAAATTATATTAATATTAATATATACAATATAAATTAGAAAATTTTAATTTGAATATATCATACTTAATGTTAAATACTCGGCATTTTCCAAATCTGTATCAATGCTATTTTGTACGTGTGCAACTTTTTCATCTAATAATCTTCCAGATAACGTTGTACGTGATGGTGAAATGTAAGCAGAATTCAGTTCTTTAAATAAATCTACAATAAAGGGATTTTTGATCACTTCAAATGGTATACCACTTATAGTCCAAGCCTTTAAAAGAGACCGATCAATACGAATACTAACTTGTGAAGGTAGTGGTTGAGATGATCTAAAATGTTGATCAATGTTTGACTGTACGCGGAATGTTCTAGTATAGGTAATATTGTTTTCTGCAAGCTTATTACGCTAATATTTACTAATATCTTCGGATGTGCTCAAACACTCATTTGCGAGATGAGCTTTTAAAACACTAGGTTTTCCTTTTGCCCAAACTTTATTGCAATGGTAACAAGTCAGCTTGTAATATCCTAGGTTTAATTCTTGACTCATAATGAAATAGGTCTAAACTTCATCAAAATTCTGCCCACCTTTTCTTACCCTTTTTTGCGATGGTAGTTGCGATTGTGCTGGTGCTGGTGCTGGTACTGGTACTGGTGTTAGGTTAGTGTTAGAATCTGGTGGAGTAGAGGGAGTACCGAAATAAGCAGTTATATTGGTTGAAGACATTGCATATACATTGGAAAACTTTGAAACAAACTAGAAGCTGACAATGAAAAAACCTCCGATCTCGGTACACAAAATCATATCGGTACACAAAATCATGATATAAAGTAACGTGACTTATATGAGTCATGTCACATTTTACGTCAATTAAAGTTGCGTTAAGTCTAAAGTCAAATGTCATTTACGAAGTCATGTAACAATTTGATGTAACTGACGGGACTTTTAATGGTTTGACGTAACCTCATGGATATCAAAAGTCTGCACCCCTAATTCTTAGACTATCTAACATTAAGTAAATATCTGAATTTTAATTTTAAAAAGTTTGTATTTTTTTTTATTGAAAATTATATTGTATATATTATTATTAGCGTTAAATAATTTTTATATATAATTTTATTTATTTTTT